CGTCACCATCACCATCATCTTCATCGTCACCAGCATCATCGTCAGAATCGTCATCATCCGAAGTGATGTCTTGAAGTCTCTGCTTGTCTTTCTTTAGCAGTTCCCGCTGTAACTCAATTAATTCGTGTGGATTGTTTTACCGTTATTTTGATGTTTTTTAAACGTTTTTAAAACATTCTTAAAAGGTGTAACAAGACCAAAGTCAATGTGACTAGAGTTAAAAATAACTCTAGTTACATTGACTTTGGTATTGTAACAAATTTTAAGAATGTTTTGAAAACGTTTAAAAACATCAAAATAACGTTATAATGACGTTTCTGAATGTTAAATTGAAAGGTTATTAAAACGCTTTAAAAACTCCATATAAATACGTTTTTAAAACGTAATATTATAACGTTTTACAAACGTGATACAAGACCAAAGTCGATGTAACCAAGATTATTTTTACGTTATAGTAACGTTTTTAAAACGCTTTCAAAACTCTATAAAATTACGTTTTCAAAACGTTTTATTAAAACGTTTTTTTGAACCAAACTCATACGCTTTTATAACGTTTTTTAACGTTAAATTGTTAGCTGGATTATAACAAATGCAAAAAGAAAATTGTCTAAACAGATACGTCATTTAGGCTCCCAACATGGCGTCGGTGCCTCACTAAAACCAGCCAATGAGCAATCCAGCTATTATAGTAGAGATCAGTGGCATGAACCCGTACTCTTGCGGCCTGCTCGCCTGTTACGCTCTGTGTACGCAATGCGCGTCAAAAATGTACGGTATTGACACGCAATGGCACTACTTGCTCACGTCTACCGTACCGCATTGTCCCCATAGAGCTATTAAACAACTAGAGTGCTGACAAGATGGCGGAGCAATGCAGAGTTGTGTATGTGTACCATCCAAGATGGCTGCCGTAGGAAAGTGCTACCTTCAGGCTTAGTATACATATTATTACCATAAATAAGCCCTCTGACTGAATATTATTTCATTAATGATAATTAGTATTGATGATGACAAATTATTAAACTGTCGTAGCCAAAAAGAGGCCAAGTAGAGCATCTTATTCAAATATTAAAAAGAATTAAAATCATGTACATTACACCCATACACCGCAACGCTCGATTTTCAACATACGGGTAACTAGCTGTACTGAACATTCTGTGTAAATTGAGGACGCAATTAAAAATGATAGTGCTCAGGGGAAATTTGATTGGCTGAATCTATCGCAGCCATCTTGGATGGTACACACACACAGCTCTGCGTATTTCGAACATCGAATACATTGCTGTTAGCGCTCTAGTATTCTTATTATATCTCTATGATTGTCCCGCAGTGTTACATACAACATGTTTTCCCGCTATGCCCCGACCACTTCGCGCATGCGTACGCGTAAAGTTGTCGTGGCAATTTTTGGTCAGGCTTTGTCCCTTTTGGCGGCACGCTAAACATATAGCGACGGTTTTTCTTTGACTCGCTATGGACGATTCATCATGCTGAATCCCAGAGAGAGTGTTATTGCAGAACAAAGAAGGTGTCTATATTTAGCAAATGCGGACTATTACTTCTTGAATAGCAGGAGAAAAGGCAGAAAGAGGAAGAGCATTCTTATTTGACATGCACCGTCGGCAGTGTTCGCGCAGAGTTCACGTAGTGTTTACGCATGGTTCACGCATATGGCACGAACATTGATACGTGCCGAATTTTTGAACATTTTAAAATGCTCACTACGACATGGCGCGCACCCCGCACCCTTTACGTACTCCTCACGCTCGTTGCTGAAGGCTTTAATCATTGGCACGCCGAAGTGCGCTCCAGTGCGTGAACGAAAATCGTGCAAGTGTCAGGGTGGATTAATTAAGTGCTCTTGTGCGGCGGTCCGCAGGGCCGCCGACCCTTGGGGCCACTTGGGTTCTTGCAATACGTTCCTCGTTAGCACCCTAACAAAAAGGGCTTTCTTAATACTGTACAGCATATGTGTCTTTGAAATCGACTGTGACTATATACAGTAGTGGATTAATGTGGAAGTGACAGTCGGACTTGGTCCCCCTAAACCTGTTATTTAAAAAAAAAAATGGAGATAAAAAGAAATTTATATTCAAATTTTAAGTCTGTAATTGCCATTTTGGCCATCTAGAAGTGCCGTAATCATACATTCTCTTACCTCAGCCCCAACCATGGTGGGCCGGATGTGGTATATAACTTCCATCTGTGAAAGCTATTTAATTGTTCGTCGATAAAAACATTAGAATACATTGACAAAAACATGATTAAAACACGAGCACATCTAAAAATCCACAATGGAATACGCGACCGGGACCCTGGGGCTCCCCCAGTCTCAGAGGCCAAAGAGCTCCCTGCCCAATATTTACGCCTCTTAATGCACGCATTACAAATTAAACTGACGCAAATTGCAATTTTATCTACTGTAATTTGATTTCGTTCGTCGTCTAACGTAAAGTTTTTGTGTCTATACCCCCTCGTGATGGGTCATGTGTACATCTTGAGTATTACTGTAGGCCTACAAAAGTCACATAAAAAAATCCAACACCACACATGTGGATACTTTATTAGTAAACAAATTACAGTAAGGCAATAGGGTATAGACACACGCTTGCGCTGGGAGCCCATTTTATGATCTGAAGAGATTAAGCGACCCATCATTTTTTCGGGGTTGCGGGACTCTGGCCTACATGATCCAGCTTTCTTACATTCTTCAAACATGTACTTAACAAAATCACATCAAGACAGTGCTCTCGCACTGCAAATAAAAGTGCATAAGATTTAAACACTTTATTAAATATGCTTAAGTGATTTGCAACACTTTATAAACATTTTAATATGTCTAGTGTTAAACACAATGTTTAATTTTTGAAAGACATGAGCAGCATGGGACAAATGTAGACATTGTTATAAAACTACATGTAGGCCAAATGAAAAACAATTTTTATTCAATAAACAATTTAAAGTTTATAATTAATACATATCAAATGTTAACTGTTTACAGCTCTGTACACTTTTTTAAAAACTGGTATGTGTATATTCAATACATATTTTAAACATAGTGTTTAATTAACATAAATACTCTTCAAATAGTTTTCTAAACACAACTAAGTGATTAATAAATCATGTATTTAAAGAAAAGTAATTGTTGAGGTGAAGGATTGACAAGGAGAAGGCGAGATAGTATTGAGATATAAAAAAGTTTTATTCAATTCTGCAAAGAATCAAATCAGGAAATAAAACATATTCAGTAACCAGTAACCCGTAAAATACATCAACAATTAAAATTAAGCAGAGTACATGAAATCATACAAAGAGCAAAACCAGTGAAATTAAATCAGCCAGTAGGACTATCAATGATGAAATAAATAATCAGAATGATTAAAAAATAATACAAGCATGTGACATTATGTAAACTGTAATACTAGTGAAAACATTATGATACTGTATGATATAAATGCATAAATATAAAAATCATACACGGTAAATAAGATTAAAATTACATGTCAAAATTCATTAGTCATAATAATAACTTACGACTTATCTCTGCCAACAATACATTAAACCAGAACAGTACATCAGTTCAGTATTCTCATCAGTAAACATTATATCATCATAACGATAATCATAAACATCAGATATGGTTTTTAAACTGTAAAACCCAGTAAATTACTTAGAGAAACATTACGATGTGCACAATGAATTCAGCAGCAGATCCGAATTACCCACGCAAATCTAGCACCCTCATAGGTATAGATAAAAGTAAAGTGTGCCCGAAGAAAAAATAGTTTCTAAACGAAACATCCTCCGCCACCATGTGAGGAATTCATATAAACAAGAAAATTTTACTCATATCCCTCAACTGGATATATGGCTGCCAACTTGGTAATTGGTCTAGTGTAACTGCTATTTGGAGTCTTCAGCGCTACATTTCGAACATAATGGTACTTTCCGAGAAATACTTCAGTAACTCGGGCAATTGTCCACTTTCCACGAGTAGCATTTGGATCGGCCAACATAACTACATCTCCAACCCTTACATCTCTCTTCTGTACATTCCATTTCTTTCGTGGTACAAGTAGAGGGAAAACATCTCTCATTCAAGCAGTGGCGTAGAAAAATATTTTTCATTGGGGGGGCTGGGTAATAAGAGAAAAGAAAGAGGGGAGAGGGAGGGAAAGAGAAAGAAGAGGAAAGGAAAAGGAAAGAAAAAGAGAAGAGAAAATTAAGGCAAGAATAAAAAGGAAGATATCATAATGACCAGACTCACAACACCCTGCAACCCCTTCTCCAC